GTTGTTGTCCTTTCCTCTTCTTTGTCCTTCCTCTATCCTTCGCTTTGGGAAGTAAATGCCATTATCTTGTCGCAAATATAGTGACAAGAAGAAAGGCTCTCTGTTCATGACACTGTGAAGCACAATACTGGCACTGATCTGCCATTTGGGAGTTCGGGACAAGGGACGATAAAATGCTATCTTACTTATTTAAACCACTCGTGTTTTGGGTACTGTCACTGGCAGCTTAACCTAATCCTAGCTACTTCAGAATTTGGCCCCTAGGAGTGGGGTGCTACCTGTAACAGAAATCAAAATATGTGGTGTTGGCTTAGTGCAGGGTTGGCAAGCTTTGTGTAACGGGTCAGATGGCAAGGTTTAGGCTTTTGGGACATCTTTGGTCTTTGTCACAAATTCTTCCTTTTAATTTGAAAGAACTTTTCAAAATAAAAACATCTTAGCTCAGTCCTTTAAAAATATAGTAACCATTCTTAACTCGAGGGCTAACAAAACACACGTGGCTGAATCTGGTGCTAGAGGCGTAGTTTGCTGACCTCTGCTTAGTCCAGTGATGGCGAACCTTTTGAGCTCGGCGTGTCAGCATTTTGAAAAACCCTAACTTAACTCTGGTGCCGCGTCACATATAGAAATTTTTTGATATTCGCAACCATAGTAAAACAAAGACTTATATTTTTGATATTTATTTTATATATTTAAATGCCATTTAACAAAGAAAAATCAACCAAAAAAATGAGTTCGCGTGTCAGTTCTGACATGCGTGTCATAGGTTCGCCATCACTGGCTTAGTCCACCAGAGGTCAGTAGACCCCGGCCCTCCTCACCAGGGTCAATGTTGACTTCAGGGCCCACTTACCTTTCTGGAGTCATGTTTTCTCTTTATTTTTAGTTTCTGAGTGTTCCTCTTATTTTCTTTATTGATTAGAAAATAATGCATTTAATTATTCAGTGACATCTACTCTCAGAAAGTACACCAAAGTGGACTTTTATAAAAGATGGAATGTAAAGAAATCACCAAAAGGACATCGCAATGATAGGTCATTAATATTTAGTATTTACTCAAAAAGAGTCAACTTTTAGTTTTTAGAAAAGAAAAAAATAAATCAGCAACTCAGGTTATTAGTTTTTAAAACTTTATAACAGTACTTGACAATTCAATTGTAATCATTTTGCTATCCTCATATTACACTAGTCATTACAATATTGCATTATTGCCCATTTCATGTGATTTATGATTCCATGGTACCCATTATGTTTATTGCTTCCAAGCTAATGATCAGTTTCCCAATAAATGAATGTTGTAATTTTACGTAGTATATTTAGATAGACCACAGAGTTCTATAAAACATTGTACTCAAAGTATAAAAATAAGTGCTTTAGGCATACTCTTTAATACTGTTTTTGTATCTTTTTTTGGTGCTTCAGGTAACTAACTTCACATAAATAAAGTCAATAATAACAAAAAGAAAAACAAGCAAGAAATTAATACCTAGAAACTAGAAATGCATTTTGCTGACAGTTTGCTTTTCATTAAAAGATAGAGGATAACCTATCTGGTTATATTGTAGCCGGAAAAGTCAGAAAAAAACTCATAAAGGAATAGGAATAAAAATACCCATAATTATAATAAATATTTAAATCAGTGATCATGATGGGCTGATTTAAATTGACGTATCTGCAGCCTGTGCGCCCAAAGATCTCTTAGGAATTATAGTAGCAAATGTTAAGTATCTAAATAAAATTTACATTTGAAAAAATATGTATGTTTTGTTGCAAATCACTTATTGCCAAAAGATATAGGTATAGGTAAGGCTTGTGGAATAGATTTTGAATTTTATAAACACAAGTATTTTAGGAAACGGAGATAGTTAATGGCCAAAATGCTTTCAAGTAGATTAAAAAGCATGGGGATCTGCTCATTAACATCATAAATTAGTATGTGAATATGACAAATCCATGTTTTAAAGCTCCTCTGGATCTTTATTTCATTTTTAAAAATTTTGCATAATCTTTTAAATTTCTTTTTAAGGTGAAGGAAGTCCTTTCTGGCTTAGGGTATAAATAGCTCAGTTCAAGGAAGAAAGGAACCAGCCAATGGTTTATGAACCTCCTAATGCGCTATGGTTGTGACAGGCCAAGAACATGTCCCTAAGAGCTGTTTCACATCTTGTCCCCTGCCTAATCTAGCCTTGTGGCTGCTAGCTCTGTCCCTGATGGCAGAACTCAGGACCTGTAGCCCAGGGGCAGTGGGAGGAAAAGTTGGACCAGCAAAGACTGGGTAGAGGGACAGCTAGACAGGGAGTGGACTGAGGAGAACCGTGCGGGAGAGGATGACACCTCTCTCTCTCTGTTCACTGTGCTCCTACCCCGGCTAAAAAGGAGTAGCTGGGATCTTGAGTTGAAGCTGTGTCTGCTTTGGGGAGAATAAAGCCAATTCTACAACATTTTTTAAACGGCCATAATGAAGGGGTCCCTGTATTATTTCTCATCTACACTGGACACATTTGAGAGTAAGAGGAGCTATTGTAAGTATTTATAACATGGGCAACAGATGTAAGCCAGCACTGTCCTGGCACACCCAGATGTATTGTCACACCGGAAAGACAAGAGACGTTGCTCAACCCTGAGTGGGATTGACATTCTTCAATCCCTTAGCTCCTGTTGGCAGCTTCCTTTCTTTAAATGAGGTAGCTTTCTAGCAGCAATTGTGGGTGCTGTTACACAAACATAGTGTGGTTTGGCACGATACCAGGTTTGGGTAGGGGTAGGAGGGGAAAACTAGTCACCTAGAGAATTACATTTTGTTGCAGTTAAAGGTGGTCTACTAGTTATACTAATGGGTTGGTAGCAATTTGAGAGGAAGCAGCATTTTTATAGGTAGGAAAACAGACATCTACTCTGACGGCTGTTCCATTTCCTCCTAAGTAACACTGCCTGATTTTAATTCTCAGTAAGCTATTGATGACCAATATTTAGAAACCCAGTTCTAATGTACTGGATGTTTCTAAATTATTTGCTTGGATATTTTGTTATTATTGCTTGGTTGGTTGACTCATTTTAATTTTTTCTATGAAAATTTATTTCTAGGAAGCAATAAAGTAAGAAATAACTGAAAAATGAATATTGATACACAAGTATGATAGGTATTAAGTAGGTGCTAATATCTGAAGGCCAAAAATGTAAACACCATGCAAAGGAAACCTTTGGTTCTACACTTGGTTTTCAAAATCCCATTTTTAAATTTTCAGAAACTATAGCAGGACTTGGTCTACATTAATGAATGTGGGCAAAGTAAATGCAAACATATGACATGGTAGACACAATGACACTTTCTATGAATATGTTCTAATAGAATCTGAAGTATCCTCTAGCTTTTACTAGAATGAAGTAACATTTCAGCAAAAAATAAAGCCACATCTACTTACTTGAATAAAATCAGTCCTCAGGATGTAAATATCATGAATACTCATGCTTTTCCTCAAGAAAGTAATGAGATGGGGTTCCAGTGGTAATCTTCTTGATATTTTTGTATTATTGTATGTTTAAGTCTTTACTCTTAACATTTATAATTTAATCTGGAATAATGACTTTTCTCATAAAGAGATTCCTATATTTACTAATTGTTCATTTTGATTAAATTAAAATTCCTCTGGATAAAACCTATTTTGCAGTGGTTAGACACATAGAGTGCCCTTTCCATTCATTTTTAAAGATTTTAAAGAGAATTACAACTCTTGCTCTTGGAATTTTTTTTGAAATGAGTAGGAATTTGCCTGACCCCCAATGCAATTACTGTCATGGAGTATAAAAGCTGGTCTGTGGGGAAGTGTAAATTTGGACCTACACATTGCTTAAGGAGAACTTTTTCACTTTCTCATTTTTAGAATTAGCTTGACCCAAGAATTAGTTTGTAGCCAATATGCATTATATTCAAATTCATACTTTCATAAGATGAATACATGTAAAAGTATGATTTGGCTATTTTGTTTTAATTTAGGCAAAATTTTCTTGCATTTTTCTACTTAACAAACATGAAATAGAAAGGGTGAAAAAAAATAAGCAGTTCCCAAACTTAGTTGCATAATTGGAATCACCTTATCTTTAAAAAACAATACTGATGTCAAAATTACTGACCCCAAGACATTCCGATGTAATTGGTATGAGGTGTGATCTTGGCTTTGAAAGTTCCTCCAGGTGTTTCCAATGTGTAGGCAAGTTTGGGGACCACTGTCCTAGGGGGTCTGAGAAGGGAAATACAAAGCTAAAAACAAAGGCCTTTCAACATTCCATCTGTAACATCGAGGCCTTTGACATCTGATTGGAGTTCACAGAACTGAAAGGTAACAAGGACTTTTAGTTGTTTTTGGAATTTATCTGATTTTGATTGGAATCTGGCCTGATTTTGAATCAGAATTCCAGTCAAGAGTTGATATTTTATTTATGCCTTTGTACCTATGTTTTCCCTTGGGTCCTGTAGAATTTTACAAGGGCCAAGGGATTTTTAAAGATGGAAATTATAGTACTGTTGTGTCTTAAATCACTGATGAAACTTGAGAAGTACTGGGTGGTTGGAATTAGGTTATTTCTGCTTGGAACAAAAAGCAATCGCGTATAAGGATGGCAAATGAGTAGGGCCTTCTACTCCTCTCCATTCTGACTTTTGTAGCATCCTCCTCCCCCATCAGATGTTCCTGGAGAAGAGGCCCTCGACTCTAGGGGCTTTTGGTAAATCCCACCCTTGCTGAGTGTCAGCAGTGATGAGGTAAGGTTTTCCTGTGACGGCTCCAAGGCCACAGCACTCAGCTCCGCCGAAGCTGTCTGATGCTCATTGGAAATGAAAGGAAGGGAAGGTAGAGGATTTCCTGGCAGATTCAATTATAGGCGCACGAGATAGTCCAAGGCTGAACCAAGGTACTTTAACTGTCTCTGAAGCTGGATGGTGGCCTGAGTATTGCAAAAAGGTCAAAGAAATAAGAGTAAATCTTTATTTCTCGCTTTGTTTGAAATGACTTTTCAGCCAATTTGCCAAATAGCTAAAAGTATCATAGGTGATAGTTTATAAGTGGTATTTCCTTTTTTAAGATATTGGAGAAGAGCAAAATACTACTGAAATGAAAATAAATCAGTATGGGCACATCAAACGTTTAAAATAAGAAAAAGTCATTTCAGGTCCGAAGGATGATTGTCTTGTGGGGATGCTTGGGACGGGCAGGAGTTCTAGGGGCAAAGAGGTGGGCTAATGAGTTTAATAAACCATAGGCCTGGTTGCTTTCACCAGGTCTGCAATATATCACATCCATTTCCAGGAAGTCTCCGGGGATTGCAGGGGACAGGGAGAGGCTGACCTATGACAAAGTGGGTGGAATTTTCAAACTGCAAATGCTGATTCATCAAACCTTGGACATTTTTTTCACAAGCCTCAGCCTGTGCACACACTCCACTTAGCTGGTAATGGAGAGCATGTTTTGAAAAGCATCATCTCACCTTCCCTCTGCCTTTGGTGACTTTGGGGATCACAAAACACAGGTGCAAGCCAGGGTTAAGACTCTGGAGTTGACTTGGCTTTCTGTTGTTCCTGACTAGGGAGGTCAGTTAAAAGCTCTCTCTCCACTCCATCAGGGTTGGTAAATGTGCTCCCAAGACACTCAGCAACCGTGCAAGAGCCACCTGGGGGGTAGTGGCTCTTTAGCCTTCTGTTAGAGAAAAGGCTCCTTAACGTTGGATTGGAGGGGGAATCATATTCTCCTATCGCGATTCCACAGTTAGTAGAAACTACCGTCTCAGGAAGGGCATCACGTGAAGAAAAGCATTACGTGTGATCATTAGGGGACTGAGTTAGAGGTTTATTTCTTCTAGATAGAGTTTTGTGTCTTATTATTAAAATAAAATAAAAAAAAGATATCTTCAGAAGGCTCCATATGCATCCCCCCGGGCCGTCACTGCGAAGGTGGGGTAGACCTCGTACGTTGTGTATGCTGCCAAGTCTTGCCCGAGGGTCACTGCTTGCTTGAGCTGGGCCGCGGACACGGGTGCAGTTGCGCCAGGGACGGCATATGCTGGAGGAGGAGGCAGAGAAAACCGCGTGAAAGGGATTCCCGTGTGCTTCCCTCGGGCTTACCGTCTTCCTTTCGGAATATGTGCCTATTCTCAGCTGTGCATTTTAAAAGGTGCTCTCAGGGGACTCATCCTCTAGGGGGCAGCATTCCCCCAAGTGAGGTCCGCACCTGTGGCTGAATCACTTCACTCTGAGAGAATTAGAAACCCGGGGACAGGGTCCACGAAACAAACTTAATAGGATGCTGAGTGGAGGAAAGTGTGGGATTTATACTTTCTCAGAATGTATAAAGGAGGCAGGGATGGGGCGTGGGGCTCGGTGGGTCTGCTTCTGCTGCCTCCCCACCCCCACCTTAATGAAATGTTAAGACATTGCTTTCACCTGGGAAGTATGTGTAGGGCGTGGGTAGACCATTAGGATAAATATTTACAGTTTTAGCATGTTTTTATAGCATGGCACCATGAAAGCAAATACTAAGTAGCCTTCCCACAATGAGAACTAACCTTGAAGGGCAGATAGCATCTTCTCCCCTACCATCAAGCTACCTTTGGTGTATTTGGTTGCCTGTCCTCACCCCCGCCCCCACCTCCTCCCTGCAAGCCAAGTTTTGACTTATAAGGACATCATTGTGTGCTGTCACCTTAGTATTAGGTTTTACATATTATTGATTTCAGACAGGAAGCAAGATGGAAAGAGAGATAGAAAGATCAATCATGAGAGAAAATCATTGATTGGCTGCCTCCTGCATAACCCCTACTGGGGATCAAGCTCACAACCCCAGGCATGTGCTCTTGACTGGATTCGAACCTGGGACCCTTCAGTTCACAGGCTGACGCTCTATCCACTGAGCCAAGCCAGCTAGGGCTTAGTATTATGTTTAGTTGCTTAGTAATCACTTTTGAAGAAGAGAGCATAGCAGCTCTTATCTTGAAGCAATATTAACCCGTCAGTGTTTTAGAGCAAAATTAGGTATTTGAGATGATCCAAAAATTGTAAAAGATGATGAGAAAAAGGGAAAGTAATGACGCAATAAACAGGGATCTGATAAAAAAAAAAAAACAAAAAACAAAAAAGCCACCCACAAAAGCCCATTTGTATTATGTGCTGTGGAAGTCTGCCCGACCCCCCAGACACATTGATTTCTTTCTGGTGGCTTTTCAGGAGGTGGTGGCTGGAAGCTGGCTGGAGTATATATATATATATATATATATATATATATATATTTTTAATTGAATCCACTCCTTGGCTCCTGCACTTTGAGCAGTAATGCTGACTAATGCACTAGTGAAGTTTGGTACATTTCCCAAGGATATGAGAAATGTGTTAACAATTACTTTCATGATTTTGGAAACAGAATATCTAAAGTAAGTAAGTAATGCATGCATATGTGTGTGTGGCATAGATTTTATCTTTAGGTGTTTTGAATTTTCTTTTGCAATTTGGCTAATTTCTTAGGCACAAAAGTATTTGTGTCTTAAACAGATTCATCCCTTGAAGCCTAGTATTCTCTGCTTGATCCCGCTATAAAGTTGTGAGAGATTCTTAAATTCTTAAGTATTCCCAAGACACAGTCATGCCCTAAATTTTTGTGCTTCTTGTAGGAGCAAATAAGTATGGATAAGATACAATATTCTTGGGAAAAAGTAAGTCCTTTCCAATGTGAAGCAAGCTTTAAAGTTCTCCTGACATTGGCTCATTTATTTTTATAGTACATTTGTTAGGGGTTGTTGGGGTACAGTTTTCTGCAAGATAGGGGTTCAACTTTCTTCAAGAACTGAGAAGTCCTGGCTATGTCCCCAGTGCACAGACGTCAACACCCTATTTTATGGGATGCAATTCCGGGGTTGGTGGCCCTAGTACGGCCCAGGGGAGACCATGCCCTCTGCAGTGGCAGCTGGAATTGGGGTCACATCCACGTGTGAAGCGTTAGTTTCAGCCTCACCTGCCAGAGTGGAGTATCTATTCAGAATTTTGGGGAAATAAAAATAAGTGAGATTTGGCCCAAGGATATGGATGTGTGGGGTATAGATTTCTCACACCTTCATATAACCAATGTATGGATTGATCAATCAATAGGAATGCCATATTTCCAGGTCTAGTCAGAACTCTCTGATTGGTCTTATGGGGGTATCTGGATACAGTGACAAGTCAGAATGAAATTTTTAAGGGAAAAGAAATAAATGTTTATTACTTTAAAAAAAAGGAATGGAGTTATTCAAACTGAATGCTGAGAAAATATTTCCAAAAGAAATTTGGTCCCCTCTCTAGAAGATTCATTTTTTAAATTATCAGCATTTATTGTAGGTATATGATAAATGCCACCTTCATATAACCAATGTATGGATTGATCAATAGGAATGCCATATTTCCAGGTATATGATAAATGTGGAAAAGTCTTTAAATGTGACCCTGAAGGCTTGTTGATCTACAGATAGACTTTATTTTAAGCAATCTGCATATGTCCGGAACAAAAGTTATAGAACAGATAAAATGAGGCTTGATTGTGCACATATTGACTCTCTCTCTCACCCCCCCACAGTTTTTTGACTTAAAATAATTTAAGAAAAATGTAATCTACACATCTTTCATAAATCAAAGTAACAAAAGTAAAATTGAAGATTGGATTTGGGGAGGAAGTGCAAGGATTGCTTAAAAGCTGATTGACCTTGGCTACCTGACTTAATCTTTCCAGGACTCAGGTTCTTCATCTATACAACAGGCATTATGCTAGAACCTACCTCTGTGGCGTCGTGAGCATTACTGAGATAACCTAAAGTACTAATACGCTGGGGATTTAGGTGAGTGCCTGGCATAGGGTAGGAGCTCAGATAAACATCAGCTGCTAATAGGTAGTTCCAAACGTTCTTACTGAAAGTAAAAACCAAACCAAAGCAAATCAGCTGCAGAGAGAATGGCTCATTCAAGATCACATGGCCTAGCCTAGACCCAACCCACTCTGCTGCCCCGCTCTATTCTCTTGCCTCAGACTTTAATGGTTCACTTATCTGGCAAATTCTTTTTGGTCACCGATGGTGTAAATCACATTTATTGTAGGTGGAGTTTACAAACAACTCTATGAGTCCATGGTACCAAGAAGGGTTTCCAAGACACTCTCTGCAGGGTGCCCTTTCTGGCCCAATATTTTCATACCTGGAAAAGCAGCCGCAGAAGCGGCAGCAGCTGCTGCAGTGGGAGCGCTGGCCCCCTCGGTGGGAATGCCCAGGGTCTGCAGGGTGTACTCGGCTGCGTATGTCTTTGCTTCATCCACGTAGGCACTTAGCTTCGGAGGCGTGAAAGCGTGGCTGGAAAGCACAACCAGGGCGAGCATTTTAAACTCATGCTATTGAGACAGGTAAACAAAGGCGCTGTTAGCTTTTGAGGATGAGAGGATGACAGAATTTCGTGTGGGTATGTTCATTCTCTTTGCCATTAAAGTTTCTACATATATATGCATGTAGACATATCTATACATTGGCCAGTGGTCGGCAAACTCATTAGTCAACAGAGCCAAATATCAACAGTACAACGATTGAAATTTCTTTTGAGAGCCAAATTTTTTAAACTTAAACTATATAGGTAGGTACATTGTTATTAACTTAATTAGGGTACTCCTAAGGCTTAGGAAGCGCCACACTCAAGGGGCCAAAGAGCCGCATGTGGCTCGCGAGCCGCAGTTTGCCGACCACTGGTAGAACAATGGTGGTTGACGTCATTCCTGGAGCATACTTGTAACTCATTATTATATAGCTTTTCTAAGGTGCATATGAATCATGACGGTTCCTAAAATAATGCGGAAATGCAGGTTCCAGGTAAAATTCAGAAGGTGATATCCACTAGCCAGAGAGGTTGCCTCATTGGTCCAAAATTTAAACCTCAGAGCATGATTTTGTATAAAATGGCTATTTCATACAGTTCAACCTAAATACTACACAGATCAAAGAATAGGTTATACTTGTCATTCCTGTTAAATTTTACAGCTGCAGTTTTCCATTGGTTGATTTTACTACCAGGTCTTCATTGTCTACACAAAATTTGGGGGTTTTGAGATGACAGTCTCATAGTTGGCACATACATCCCAACTCTACATCTCAATGATACATCTCATCTCAAAAATGAGTGGGTAGTAGACTTGAATATTTATCTTATTGAGATAGTGTTAAAATGCATTTAATTTATAAGAGTCTCTTATTTTAAAATTGATATGATTAGGAATTTGGAGAAGTTACCCACATTGCAGGATTTTGG